ACTTACACCGATAGAACGAAGGAGTTCATTCTCTTTTCAGTTGCAAAAAGATTTAATATAAGTAATGATCAACTGGGGGGGGGGGGGTTATAAATTAAATTGAGTCAGGCTGTTCCATCATGCATGCATCCACCCATACATCATTTGTTGAATGTTTGTCTTCAAAGTTACTAACTTAATAAACAACATGTCATGCTTTACTCATTGTTTTTTTTAAGCCTTGATCCAAAACAAGGTCAGGTTGCCATGTTTTTTATTATTTGTGTTAAGCATATGTGATAGGTTAAACTTTGGTAAGTAACCACCTGTTGATCAAGACCAACTTCTTCAAAGATGGATAACTAATAAAAAAGTGAAATATTTAAAAACAATACACATTTTTTGATATTTCGAGTGACAAGTTCTATTAAATGAAAAAAAAAGTGTGGGTTCCCTTACTTGTTTCCATGGAAACCATGACTTTGTGATTTCCCCATAGCGATAAATCCTACTGGGAGTGGGCATTTGAATTTGAAAATCGGTCATAATACATAAAATTTTAGTTTATGTAATTCAAAAACTATTAGTTTTGGCTGCTTCCATTCATTGCTATATTGGAATCGTTAGTTTTAACAAATGTTTAGAACATTTATTCTTTACACCATGCATCGAAAACTGCGTTTCTGAAATGAAAAATTGTAATGGTTTTGCTGATATCAATTTTCCTGGGTTGATGATCAAATCATGTTTATGGGGACGAATGTTTGCGAAAACTACTACGACTTTATAACCCCAGAAAAATGTTCATCACTATTTTTCTAGAATTGTTAAATTTTCATGATTTGATGAGGGATGAATGTTCATGAGAAAAGAGCTTTGTGAGTCACCAATCTGTCACTTTGACTCCCTAGGATGCCAGTGAAAGTTACTGTGATTTTCTAGGACGCCAGTGACTGTGACTCCCTAGAATTCCTGTGAAATGTTCACTGTTAACAAATTTGGTTTTGACTTGCACATTTGTGAATATTGGTCCTGTAGTTGACAAAACTTCAAATTTATTTATTAATTTATGATAGCTGCTTATAATGTAGTATATGAATTTCACAAAATTCGGATTTAAAACTTAGAATTAAACCATCCTAGAAAAAACCAGTAAGAAAAGCAACCCTTTTGAAACTGATCTCTTTTCAAAGAAAAAAGAATAGACTCTAAGAATGAACTGTTTTATTTAAGTGGATTGTGTATACCTGTATGTATTTTCTGTTTAGTCTGACGCATTGGCATTCAGCACCATACAATACTATATGAATAGCCATTTATTAGTTGTTTTGGTCAGTATTGGAGGAAAGAAATCATGAACAATGAATTGGGTGTATGCCCTGGAGTAGCTTTCATTAAATTTGTTGTCTGTGTTCTCTCTTTAACGCCCAGCTTCCTGTTATTATATCCCTGCAGCTGGCAGGGTCTCTATACTGTATTCAAAACGATGATAAAAAATGACCACAGTGTCAGAGTTTGTCACAGCTTGGAAAATGTTAACAAAGCTCCCAGGCATTAAGAACTGGGTCAACCAAACACTGCATACATCCAGAACTAATTTGAACACATCTATGGCAGTACATGTGAATATGGCCTTGGCCGATGGTGTTAATGTGTTCAGCTGGCCAATACACAAGTGATGGCTATTAAACATCCTGTTGTGTGCTAGTTTACTATGTCAACATTTTGAAGTTAAACTTGTTTTGAAAATATATCTTCACAAAAATGTGCTTATACAAGTAGTACCCTTGAATCTCCACAAATGTGAAACGGGAGATGCTCTCATAGAAATCGCATCCCCTCTGTTGCATTGTACTATTTTAATAGAAACCGCGGCTTCTAATACAGATTTAACAATAACATGCATTTTGTGATTGTTGTGTGAAAGCAGAATACAATGCAGAATTCAGTCCTCTATTTCATAAGATAACTATAAGAATCTATCCAGTTCTCTTCTTATAGCTCACTCACTAATGGCAAGATATTATGGGGAGGGGGGCGTCGGCAATAAATTTGTTGATGACATCAACAAAAGCATTGTCAATCAATCATCTTCAGATAACATGATTTATTGAGAATCTTTCCTGTGTAGATTTACCCCAGACCATTCGTCCCGGTGTTATCGCTATCGCCACACGAGACTCCAGCTTGTCTCCTATACAATTTTCCTTCCGCCCACTTAATTTTAATATTCATATGACCTTTGCACTGACATTGATAGCCAATCGCATTCGACCGCGGATGTCACTCTAAATAAACAACTGAATAAATTAATATACCATATTTGGAAGATAGCGGGTAAATTCAACGTTGTTGGTGTGTTCCTTCGGGTTCCGAAGTCGCACAAAACGAGTTCATGTTCCGTTATCTTTCGCAAGTAAAACAGGTCGATATGTATTAAACATGGCATTTGTTTTCTTGTTTTAACCCCCTTATTACGCAAGCTTCCGTCGAAGTGGTCTTTTTTTCGACGATTTGTGGCATGTTGCAAAACGAACGAAACATTGCGGCATTCTTAGCGGTGGATAAGGGATCGACTGTCGTCACATTTATGTCTCGTTTGAAAGAGAATAAACAACCGCTCAGAAAAATATGTTGCTAATATTTAAGTGCGGTGCCTTGAAATCGCCTGCCCGACGTCCAAATTTCAAAAGGATGTTCGATTTGCAATGACGACCGTTCATATGTACTAGGCCACGTTACTAATTACTACTAGGGTCGGTGTTTGCATTAAGAATTATAGAACAAAAGATCAGCAAAGCGGTG